CCCGGGCCAGCTGGGGTGTGTGGGTGGCGGCCCCGGGCGTGTGCTGCCTCCGAAAAGTTTGCAGCTGCTCCACAGTCCGTCCTCCTTTTTGCAAATCTCTCAGCTACGACTCGTTTAGGTGGCGCTCGAATGCCTTGTACAAGGGAACCCCAGTTAAACAAGTTCTTGGCAAGTAAAATGCATTTTTTGATGAGTGCAAGTTGGAGAACTTTCATTGGTGTAAAACTAAGTGTTGTTTCATGGAGCCGTTATCCCCAAATTCGGGGCTGGCAGGCCGTCTGTTACCGCCCTGGGTCCCCACTGCTCCTTCCGGGGGACCCACTTTGAAAGGCTGATGTAATTCGTGCCTCTCCCCTGTGCTCAGTTCTCAGAAGACCGAGGTAGGTGGGCAGATGGTCCCCTTCCCGGCTCCACTTTCAGAGAAGGAAACAGACATCAAGTGACTTGGCCAAAGTCCCTGTCACCCCAACTCGGGGGCACATCGTTTGAACCCACTTTTTCAGAGCCCCGGCTTAGGTGATCTTTCCACTACCCCACGCCACTCACCGGGGATGGTGTAAGATTATAGTTGTGTTTACTGGGTTTAGGGATCGCCTTTCTTGCTCTTCATTGTTCCTCCAGTAGGGAACCGAAAGAGCCCCTTATGACATGTTAAGGCACCAAATCTAAACACTATGTTTGTGGTGCAACAGGTGACTGGCTTTTAGTAGCACTGCAAGTATCTGGCAAATGAATCACATAAGTGGCTTTTCTAGTTATCACTAGCTTTAGCTTTTTTATAAACAACATTAACTTTTTTTCTTTTTGTCTTGAGAATTAAAGGGCCCTATAAGTTATTATTCCTCTAAGTTGTCCTTTGAAATATACTGGACCTAAGTGCACTGACTTGGGAACCTGCCTGTGACATCGCTGATGCTGTGCTGTACTCTCGCACCCTCCACACCAGCAAGGCGTGGGGCATATATTTCTAGGTCCCCTTCTCTTCCCTTCCCCTTCCTCTCATGTATTTTTGAGCACTTTTTTTTGACCTATCATATGTTATTGTTTGCTGCTCTTTAAAGTGTCTGTCTGGAGTAGCGTTTTGGCTCCCTGCCTGTAGATTGCTTTAATTTGGGAAGTCACTTTATCAGCATTGTGGTTGAACTGTGTACTGTGAATAAATAATGTGAGTGAGGGCGTTGTGGACCAATAATTGGTATAGGGACTAGTGACATCTGGGCTGTATCTGCTAATTTTGGAATTATTTGGAAAAATTAGAGTGTCTGGATTCAGACCTGCTGGAGAGCTACAGTTTATGATACATTTTTAGAAAGATTAGGAGGTTACCAATCCAACACTTATTCATGAGGACCTCCTGTGTGCCAGGAATGTGTTTCAGGATGTAGTAAAGACAGAGTATCTGTTCTGAGGATCTTTGCTTTGTTCAAGTTGTGGGGAGGGAAGGGGCAGGCAGACATTATGAGTAAAATTAGAACTGTAAAGAGGAGCAAGTGCCATGAGAAAATGAAACAGGATAATGGGATATAGAGCAACTGGTATGGGGCTGCTTTCAGCATGCTTATCAGAGTAAGCTTTTCTGAGGAGGAGACATTTGACCTGAGACTGGAATGATATGCAGGAGATGACCATAGGAATTCTGGGGAAGGAGCATTCCAGGCAGAGGAGGAGCAAACGGAAGACAGGCAGGCCAAGAAAGAAGGCGAGTGAGTCTAGGGTCGGGGAAGAGCTTTGCACCTGGCTAGGTAGGTCAGATAAAGCAAGCTAAGAAGGTTGGATTTCATTGTAACGGCTGTGGAGAGCCAGGGGAAGGGTCAAAGATCACTCCAGCTACTTTGTAGTGACACTTTGGGGACAGAGGTGGACAGTGGTGCCACTTGTCTTGGATTAGATGCTTCATTAACTTTTTTTTTTTTTTTTGCCTAACTTTGTTTTTTAAAATATATTTTAAACTATTTGTAGGTGCAGTCATGCAGGAAAATCTCAGATTTGCTTCATCCGGAGATGATGTTAAAATATGGGATGCTTCATCCATGACATTGGTGGATAAATTCAACCCACACACATCACCACATGGAATCAGCTCATTATGTTGGAGCAGCAATAGTATCCTTTAAAAAAAATAAAACACTCTTTGTTAGGTTTAAAAACCAATGGAACTTTTTTTGCATGTGACCCATAATTTGTAGCTCTGAAAGGTAAAAAGAAACAGTTTACTAAACAGTATATCATGAATACACACCGATTTCTCTTTTAAAAAATTTAGTTATAGCCCATTGCACTGAAAAAC